TTTGTAATTTCTTTGTGTTTACCTTTATATTTGGAGTATAGAGATTTCGTAAAGATGCCAATGCCATGGAAAGTCCTTCTGTGCTGTAAGAGATCCAGAGACCTTGGAGAATGGAAGATGACACACCAACTTTTTTACTCAAACCCTAAAAAATAAATATAGAACCAATCAAATCATTAGCCCAGCTAAATAGTATCATAGGTAAAAAGTTAGCAGAGTTTCACCTGAACGATTTCATGCCTCGAAAAGCATATCCACTGATGGGGACAAAGACTAGTCCTGTAGGAACAAGGTAATTTAAATCACCTCGAATCTACTTAACAGCTTTATTTTCTGCTATATCTGGGTATAATTTGTTTTTCAGTATCTTTTCTATTAGCATCCTTGAATAAGTCCCTTAAATTCAAGTCACTAAAATATACAACTATGGCAAGGATAATGTGATGTGATCAATGATCTTATTTTCATTTTCTCCGTGGGCATTTGGGAAAACTATTTTTCCCAGCTTCCTTTACAGTAAGGTAGGCTATGTAAAAGAATTATGGTTAATAAAATCTGGGCGAAGGTAATACATCACATTTAGGCTTGCCCCCAAATCTTCTGTTTCCATTAGAGTTTTCTTTTCTTTTTTTCCTTTGGTTTTTTGAGACAAGGTTTGGCTATGTAGCTCAGGCTGTTCTTGAACTTGAAATCCTCCTGCTTTTGACTCCTGAGTGCTGGGATTTCAGATGTGTGCCATGTGGCTCTTCAGGCTTTCTACTGTTCTTCTTAACTGTAGGTCAGATGCAGAGGTACTAATGGAAGATTCTGAGGCCCAATGTGATTTCAGAACTACTACAGAGAAGGAACTTGCCCCGTGATCTGCACTAGACTATAGTGGAAGCAGGAAATGAATCTCTGCTAAGTCAGTGAGATTTTGCAAGTTGTTATAGCAACTACAATTTCTCACCCTGACTAATGGCACCCAAACAACCATATCTGTTCATCCCTTGGGAACAAACCTGATTGCCATTAGAATAACTTTCTCTATGTGTACTGGCATAGGTCCCCAAGTGCTTGCTAGTAGCTCCCCCTTTCAGCAAGGGGCTTCTCCAAAGCAACTGAGATAATTTGTTCATTAAATTTGCCTGAGGTTAGGATACTCTTACCTTACTCTTTCTGTCAAATCTGGATTGAATGTGAATTAAAGCAGGAAATCCCTGATGGCAAGATTTTTGGCAGTAACTGGCCTTGTGCTTGCTAGCAATGTTCTACCCATTTGACCCAAACCTAACTCTTTGTTGCTTTAACTCTTTTTTTTTGGATAAGGACTCAGGTTTTTTCCTGGGCTGGCCTCAGACCATGACCATTCTACCTAATGTGTCCCAGCATAGCTAGTCACGACGTGCAACAGAGAACTCCTCGGCTGTTTTTCCAAATGGGTTGTGCTTAACTTTTTGCCCAGCTTTGCTTGAACCACAATCTTCTCAATTGTCAGCTTCCAATAGCCTGAGATAGCTAACAATAAAAGTTGGACTATATTCTGGGAGCAATTTTTCAAAAACATACCTACTTCTGTTTGCTTCGTTCCTTGAAACTGCAGGTTATTCTTGCTTAGAATACTATGTGTATCCAAATCCGCAAGGTGTTTTATTTCGAGTCTATAGGAAAGACCTTTACATAGAGGAAATTTTTAAGTTATTTACAAGTTCATCTGTCAAAATCTCAAGTCATGGTGGTCATGGACTTCCTATAAAAGGTGCAGGCTCCTTAACTGAGTGAAGAACAAATTTCTTATAGAGAGAATTCTCATACTAGGGGAAAGGCTAAAAGACAAATAATGCTATGGGAAGGTTGGGCACATGTACATTGTGAAAAGGTTTCCTGACAGGGATATTTTTCTCTTGGAGGGGATATTTTGATACAACCAAAATCAAATGATTAAATATTCAGATTAAAAGTTCTCTTTCCAGCCAGGTCAGTTATCCTAGCATTTAGGATGCTACAGCAGGAGGACTGAGAGCCAGCTGGAGCTACAAAGTGAGGCCCTAACTCAAAGAACAACAAAAAACCCAAAATAAAACAAAAATTTTGTTTCTATTGGATATGTACAGATTTTTCTTTTTCAGTACTAGGTTTGAACTCAGGGCTTCAAGCTTGCTAGGCAGGTGCTCTACCACTTGAGCCACACGTTCAAAGCAGACCCTTTCCTTAACCCTGATTTCTACACTTGAAGATCAGCTCAAGTATGGGCAGGGTGGTTCAAATATATCTAATGCTACACATCAATTGCTAAGTTGGTAGTTTTTAAAGAAAAAGACTTCTAGATTCAAGTTTTTGAAATTATAAAAATAATACAAATTTGTTAATAAAATAGTATAGTATTAAAAATAAAAGTAGCTTCAATCTATCATAATTCTCAGATGGCTACTATTAACATATTGATGTTTATCACTTAATACATTTTTATGCATATACAAATACACACTTAAATGTACATAAACAATGTGAAATTTAATTTATGAATTATTTTATTATGGAAAATTCAAGCCTATTTATAGAAGTAGAGAGGAACAGTATAAGTTGAGCATCCTGTCTGGAAATCTGAAATACTGAAAAAATCTGAAACCTTCTGAGCCTTGACATGATGCCACAAGTGGAAAATTTCACAACTGACCTCATGTGATAGGCTGTAGTCAAACACAGACTCAGTGACTGAGGGATAGTCTGAAAAAAGTTTAAAGAAATATAAATGAATTGTGTGATAAAACTTGGGTCCTGAAAGAGGACAAGATGGTAAATTAGAAGTGTCCACTGCTTTGATGTTGACTCTGAATGAGAATCAGGTAACACAGGAGAGACTATTATTATTATTATATTATATTTTTGGTAGTACTGAGGTTTTAACTGGGAGCTTTGCACTTGCTTGTTAAGCAGGTGTTCTATCATTTGAGCCTTCTCTCCAGTCTGAACTATATCCTAAAGAGAGAAAGAGGAAGAACATCAGGAATCACAAAAGAAGATGCAGAACAGTAGAAAAGCATGGATAAACTGAGGCAACAGAGAAAAGCAGCAAACAGTTCCAAGCCTATCCCTCCCTATCCTGAGGTAGATGGGAAGCTGAAGAGGTGATCACAAGGGAAGCTAGATGGTCCTAGTGACAGAATGGGAATTCTAGCTGCAAGATAAGCCCATACCTCCCACAAGCCTTAAACCCAGTGTGGGGATTTGATGAGACAGTGACCGTGACCACTCTGGTGTGGAAGCCTTGGTGAAGAAAGACATTCTGTAACTTTTGTTATCTCAGAGAGCTATAACAAGATGCCATATTGAGAGAGGGCCTGTTATTAGAGAATGAATAACTCTGGGGGCTTGAAAATAAGGAACAATCATGAATTAGGGAGTCTTGGGATACCCAGCTACAGTGTGTGGATAGGAGACAGCCATGAAGAGTGGTCATGGAGATGGAGAGGGTCTGATGTGGTTCTGCACAGAAGTTCAAGCATCAGGGAGCTCTGGAAGCAAAGAACATGGTGGTGGAGGCCTTGCCCACCCTGGTAAGGAGCAAGTTCCATAACCTGAGGGTCATGGTGGAGACAGAGCAGTTATGCTGTGGCTGGTGCAGTATTTGGCTTCCAGGACCTTCCTCCTGGCTACATGTGTTGGCTCTTAGATGGGTTAGAGGGCCCTGAGCCAAGACTCTCCAAATCATGTGATACCCACAACCTCTTCCCCTCATATCTTGCTGGGCAGGGTCTGAAAGCACTGAGGTCCACTTCTGGAAGCTACATGCCGGCATGTGTTTGTTGCTAGGCAAGACTGAGAGCCTGAGTCCAGACTCCATAAATCATAAGCCTTCCATAGCCTCCTCTACCTCACAGAGGGGGAACTACTGGACAGGGTCTATAAGCACTGAGACTAGCAGGCAGAATGACTAGGTCTTTCTGTTCTCCCTCATCCAGGGCAGAACTTAGTTAGCACTGTTTGCTCCCCCTCTCTGATGCATTTGGAGGGTCACTTCAAGGCTTGAATGGTTGCTATCTCTAGGGATAAAAACTGGGGGGGCTTGTGGAACAAATGGGAACAAGCTCCCTGCAGCCAACAGCAGCTCCCAGTACACAAAAAAGGGAAGTTTCTACAGGAAAAACAGCCCAGAAGCAGTTGACCCTCCCTTTTACAAGAGACTCCAGCTAGTTTACCTTGATCTGAGCAGAGCTGGGGATGAGGTCTAGCGTCCTGATCAAATAGATGAATGCTTGGCTATTAAGTCCAATGGTGGGAAATAGCACATCAACTTGGATACTAAACTGTCCTGCCTCGAACAATGAGATAATTCAACTGAAAGACTACAGGTGATTACAACTTTCAATCAAGTTGGATGTGAAAATCTCAACTCAGAAATCCAAGAAATATGAAAGAACAAGACAACATGACTACTCAGAAGTCAACAACTCCACAGTAACAAACACTAATGACAGTGAAATGGATGAAATTGCAGACAAAGAATTAAACAAATGGTTATAAGAATGATCACTGAGCCAGGTGCAATGGGCTCATGCCTGTAATCAAAGCTACTGAGGCAGTAGTGATTGAAAGGACTATGGCTCAAGGACAGCCCAGGCAAAAAGTTCATGAGACCCCATCACAATAAATAAAAGCTGGGTGTAGTGGTGCATGTGTGTCATCCCAGCTATGTGGTAAGCATAAATAGGATGATCATGGTCCACACTGGCCCAGGCATAAATGTGAGACCCTATTAGAAAAATACAGAAAACAAAAAGGGCTGGGGGCATGGCTCAATTGTATGTAGAGAGCCTGCCTAACAAGTGCAGGTCCTGAGTTCAAACCCCACTACCGCAAAAAAAAAAAAAAAAAAAAAAAAGGTCAATGAATAAAAAGGACACAAATGCCTGAATAAATTACAAAAAAAATGCAAATAAAGAGCTTTATGGAATTAAGAAGACAATTCAGGATAAGAAAGAGGAATTCAATAAAGATACATAAATTCTGAAAAAAAATCAAATTGAAATGAAAAGCTCAGTCAGTCAAAAATCTCAGTTGAAAGTCTCTCCAGTAGACTGGATCAAACTGAGAACCGAATATCCGAACTTGAAGACAAGGTAAATGTATTATAACATGTAGATGAAGATAAAGGAAAAAAACCTA